GCACGCGCGCGCGCGGTTTTCCTTTTTCTTTTTTTTTCTCTTTTTACCAGAACACGGAATGAATCCCCGTGGCGAGGAAAAATAAATCTAATGGCTAACGAGTTTTTACCGAGCTCCGCGCTTGGGCAATTAAGAAGAGGGTAGAGGGGCTCGATGGGGAGACCCCGGAGGTGAGTCGGAAGAAGGTCGAAGGTACGAGAAAGTCCGCCAGCAGAAAGGGTTATATCGTGTTGCACGACATTCAACCCCTTGTACCGCTAAACTACAGATAAATACGAAGGCTCTGTGCCACGCAAAAGTGGGGTAAGACGTGACGTGGAGAAGCAGCGAAGAAAACCAGACACGGGCGAGTTCGCAGTGCTTTGGACAATTCTTTTTTTCGTTTTTTTTTTTAACGTTCTTTTCTCTCTCTCTCTCTCTCTCTCTCTCTAGTTCTATCTTGTTCTAGTCGCCTAGCAAGAGTAGCAGAATCTTTGATTCATCGATCGAACGTGTGTCCATTCTCTCTATTCTCTATCAAGAATGGTGTGTATGGTTGCTGTCTTTTAACCGCGAAACTTTCCAAACGTGTGTACAAAGTTCACGTGAATTCGAAGAAACATCAGAGTCTAAGCTGGAGGAGAATACACAAAGAAAAGGGGGATAACACAGTTCATAAGACGCACGAAGGAAGCGTTTCTAGAGGGAGGAAATCTAAGTTTCTACGGCTGGCTACCGATCGTTCTCTATAATACATTTACGCTCCGGCCTATTATAATATTGTACTCGGAGTGTATTGTCTTTCTTGGTCGGGATAATGTTTCGTCGACACGCCAGGCCTCGACCCAGAGTGGTAACTCTTTCATTTCCCCCATCTCTCCTGCTCTTTCTATTCTTCTCTTGCTCTCTTGCTTTTCCTTCCTCATACTTTTTTCCTCTTCTTCCTCTTTCCTTCTTTTTCTTGCTTCTTTTTAAACAACGATCCATTAGCTATCAGCGGCGGAGGGTAAGTCGACGAAGGGGGGGACGGGGCTAGATAGCCTGGAATAGCGAAAACAATTTCAAGAAATCTGCCCCGGCGAAAATTCGATTAGCCGCGCAAGATGGGCTCGAGCTCTCTCTCCATTTGTTTCGTTTCGTTTTATTTTCCGCCAGCCAGGACGGACTCTGTTTCTGTCGCGCTGGCGGCTTTTAATTACTTCTCCGCTCTCTCTCGCAAGATCCTCTCTTCGTCTTCGTCCTTCTTCTTCTTCCTCATCTTCTTCTTACTACTTCTGCTCGGTTTCTTTTTATCCTCGAGACTTGGCGCTACAAAGACACGGGCTACTTTTAACTCGAGCCGTTTCCCTTCCACCCGTCGCGCTGATACCACCACAAACACACTCTGGATACTCTCGTTATTTTATTAAACGTTGTTTGTCCGTGATCCCGCTGGCGCGAGACGAGTTGTTCCGCGTACGGTTCTGCGCCTCGTCTACGTAGGTGGAAAGTCGAGAGATTTATCTCGAGACGTTGAACAGAGAGGCGGAGGAAGAAACGCTTTAGCCAAAGGATTAGCTTTCAATTAGAGGATCCTGACGAACGGTGTTAAAAAGGAGGATATTTATTGCCTAGGAAAGGCACCTGATGCACCCATTTTCGATTTTCCGTCGCTGTTTTACGAAAAATAATCCCAAACCGAGAAATTCACCCTTGGACAAAACCTAAACTGCACTTCCACTCTCCCTCTCTCTTCCTTATTTCAAAGACGACACCACGTTTTGCTACGCGACGAGACAGGACTGTGAAATTAATTAGATTTCGCGTTATCGCGAGCGACGCGTTAACGTGACTATTGGCACCGTTCAAGGCGTTTATCGCACAGTGTTAATGGATAATCCGTTCCGAGTTTACCGCTTTCCTCGTTTGAGAGGGGACAGAAAAAAAGGAAAAATAAAATAACACAGCCGCTTTACAAGGAGATTGTCAGTTTACGACTGGTTACGCAACATGGCCGGTCTAATTGGCCGGGATAAAAAGGAAACCCGATTGGGTGTTTTTCAGCGTGGCGAAAGAAGCGCGCGAGAAGAGAGCGAAGAGAAACAAGAGAAAAGACCGAGTCACGGACGGCTCGACAGATGCCTTCCCACGTTTTTTCGTCGAGACATGTGCCTGGCGCGGCGAAAGGGTTGAGAAATTCAGTTGGTCGAGCGCGGAGCGGGCAAAAAACCACCCCACGGTACAAGATTCCTCTGGTAATCGCTACGTGCCGCGATTCTACCGCCAGGGGTGAATTCGATTAAGTGTCGGGGACGCGATCTTTTTTCCCAGATCATCCCATTTTTTCTCGTTCTTTCCTCTTCCTTTTTTCTCTCACTTTTCCACACCGGACCCGTAATACGGATACTTTCTCACTCTCTCTCTCTCCCCTCTATGACACTTTAAACGTATTATCATCCTCCACGCAGGAAGTGGAACGTCGATGAACATCGGATTGTTCGTCCTCGTTGATTCTCTTACAGGATGATCCCCTTGGCTGTTCTTCTTCTCTTTCCTTCTTCGATTCGTTATTTAGTCTTTTTTTCTCATTTTTCGACGATGTTTGACCGTTTGAATGGTGTCTATCAGTGATGAAATCGGGACGATCGGCAAATTTGATAATGGACGATAGAAATGTAAAAGGCGTGAAGGCTGGCCTGCGTATATTCGCTCTGCGAACTCCCGTTCAAGTTCGAAGCGGCTCGTCGGTGAAAATACCACAACCAAAGCAGTCCCAAGCGTTACGAAGAAACCCAGCAGAATGATCTAAGCTACCGTTAGGATCTTTCTCTATTGTTACGACACCGGTAGCACCGCGGGGATTGTCGTAGAGTTACGTGGCACTTGGGATGCAAAATTCTCTGCACGGTTCGACGTTGCATTCCTTTTCTATATTTTTCTTTCAATTTTTTGCAAAACGGATAAAAATTCAACGGATAAAAATTGATCACTTTCAAACACGAAAGTACGATAACACACCGTGCATCAGAATTTTTCGTCCCATGAAAAATCGCTAACCAGTTAGCTGCTGCTTTTACAGACAAGTTCTTCCCTTTTTTTTCTGTTTCTTTTCTCTGGCAATTAACGACACCACGTATGACCGATCGAAGAGAATAGGGTAGAGATTGGAGGCTATCTAAAAGACAGGATTGAGTCTGCTGACAGAAAAATCGTCCGGATAGAAGCGTGACCCGCCACCATGTGTGCATTCAGAGGAAACGTGTTCCGTACCGCGTGAAATAGAAAAATGTCTAAAGAGTAGCGTATTTAATTTGATTATTATCTTGGTTTATAATCGTTCCGAATAGAAGAGCGTATCAGCGGCGAAATTGGCGAGTTACGTATAATGATAAGAATGCATATAATAATGTACGAGTTACATCGCACGTGTACAACCGTCTGACTGATTGTCTCTAGATCTCGGTTCTCCGGTTTCTTTCCGACCATGGTTCGATTTTTATAATCGTGTGCGAGCACCGCGTTAAGTAGCCAAAATGCCTGTTGTTGTTGGACGTCGGATTTGGTACATACATGACTGACCTTCGAAGTGTGGGTACGAAGGCTGGATTCTGTGGCGAAGCCTTTGCCGCAGATGGTGCAATGGAACGGCCTGTTCTTCGCCCGTTCCACCTGGGCGTCGTGATTTCGAAGGTGTTGCTGCAAATTCGACAATTGAATGAATGCCCGCCCGCAATCCGGTAGATGGCACTTGTACGGACGTTCACCTGTAACAGAGGAAACTTTACATTATATCATTCAGCTGTTCATCGGTGGATTCATCGACGTTCAACAGTTACCAAAGCAGAGCTGAGAAATTCAGAACCGCATAGACCGTAGAAATGAGGTAGGCGAGAAAAGTTCACAAATAGAGAGATCGAGAGATCAAAGTAACCCTTTCGCTGCTGGTGTCGTCGGACACGTGAAATTCTCAGCTCTGCACAGATAGCTTTTTACGCGATATTTCGTTCGATTAAATGGAAGAGAAAGTAGAGAGAACCATTGACAATTAATGATAATTCGAACGGGTGTTTGCAAAAGCGTAATGAATCGTGGAAGCACGTTTCTGATACGGGAACACGGTACGAGACACAACGGAGGTTAGTGGTTGAATTACTTTTTTTCCGGGGCGATGTGCAACAGGTATCAGCGGGTAGATTTAGGGATGAGCGTAAAAAATGCCACTCGTTTTAAAACGACCATTAGAGGCGGTGTTTTAACAACCCGTAACCAGGACCCTGATTTAAAACGCCGCGTATCTGTCAAACCGACGCGACGGTCCGTATCTCTTTTTTTTTTTATTTTTCGCGTCCTAATGCGCGTGTTAATTATCGCGACTCGTTTACACACGTCGAGAGCGCAGTTACGATAGACTGGTTTTGTCAATTTTAAAGGCGGGCGCGCATTATTGGTCGGTATTTAATCAGGGATTCGTACTATCGACGCGTGAAATATGCAGCGGAAATTCTTTCCTGATTATTTCACAACCCGGTTAATATTATATCCGCGATGTTAACAGGGAAATATCTTTAGATGCTTTTAATCTATTCCACGGTATCGCGTTGAAGGAAGGGAAACGGAACGGACGAGAGAGAGAGAGATTGCCGATCGTTGCAATTTTTATTGCGCTTTTTCACGGGCCGTCGTTACGCTCACAGCCAGTCGACTCTATTCCAATTCCCACAAGCGATTGGCTCAATTTAACTTTTATTAATATCGACATTCTTCCCTCCGGTCCTTTTTACCCCCGGCAAATTTCTTCTTTTTCTTCCTCCTGCTGTTTTCCTCTCTCTCTCCCTCTTGCTTCATCTACCACCTTCGTTCCTTCGTCTCTCCTCCACCGGATTCATCTTTTATTCAGACCGATCGAACTTTTAATAAAACTAACTCGTGTCTCTCTTTTTTTAATATCTCTCTCTCTCTCTCGTTCTCGTTGTTATCTCGCCGATATTACCGTTGCAACGTTCGACAAATAACAATCTCAAGGGGAATAATTTTGATTTATCGACGAAAGATTAAGATAGCGTACAATCTTTCAGGAACTACATAATCTTTCAATGAAGTTTCCATCATGGTTATAATATTTCCCTTTTGCAGTGTACGGCGAATTAATGCCACGAGAAGAGAGAGAGGGAAACAGATGTTGAGATTTATTTATTACGTGGTCTATGTTGTACGATGAATACATTAATAGAAGGCTCTCCCTCTTCCTTGTTTCATTAAAGGAAGAAAAGAGAGTGAAGAGACGAGAATAAGGTACAAAGTGAGATTGGTAAAGCGGCGCGTAACGCGTGGCAAAAGTTATAGCCAATACGTAAACTATTACTTTTACGAGCTTTACTTTATCATTTTTATAAGCTCGACCGGCCAGGCGGCGTTTTACGAGAGGCGTTTATTTAGAAGTCGTGTGTATGCGCGTAGTAAAGTTTTATCGTGTTTGCATTTACATGAAACACGCCTGTTTCACGCATCCAGTATGAATTTATCAATGATGAATTTTCTTGAACAAACCACCACCACCACGCGCAAGCCGGTGTTTTAAGTTACAACGATGCGGCGGCGGGGCCGGTGGTGTTGTACAGTTTTTGATCTGGCGCCATTCGTTTTGCTGGCACAAACAAGAGAGTAATGGAACAGAAAGTTGTTGGTAAGTAAGCGACAACGTTATACACTTTGTCTTTTGGCACGTTCGATTTGTCAACGTGTTTTTCCTACGACGAGCCTTTCCATTCTCGGTTTATAAAGGAGCAGGCAGGTATATAATCGTGATTTATCTGTCAAATGAAGCGATATAATATGCCCCGTTAAATAGAGGTGTCGCACGTGTGTGTGTTTAATCAAACCGGCCGCAATTCTTTTCACCGCGAAATAAAATTGACCGCCGGTTAATTGCTCTCTCGATTTGGTTAATTCGATAAACGGTAATTTCATGGTTTTTTCTTTCACAGAGAGTAAAATACGACGAGGGAAAAAGAGATCGATGCGTTTCAACGGACGACACATTCGTCCCGATGCTCTTTTATAACCCACACCACCATCAAACCATCTCTCTCTCACTCTCGCTCTACCTCGGTTTAATGCCTTTCCGTGTATCTCTCGTGGCGACACTAAACATGCATCGACATTAAATTTTGCTTGACGACCGTAATTCCCCGACGGTGTATAACGTCATTACATTCATCACCTACACTGGCTCGGAATATCAAATGAGAGTGGCGATATATTTGATTATTTGTCAGTACGTCGGTTTCACAGGCGCGTGCATTTCCCACCCCTTTTCTCTCCTCTCTCTCCCTCTGCTCGGTGGAAAAATTCCTGGCCACGTTTTTCCGCGACTCGAGCCACCACCAGCCTGTGGCGCGTGTGCACTTTGTTTCTTTTTTTTCTCTCCTTTTTTCTCTCCCAGGCGGTACGCCTCTTCGTCCACTCGTCAAAATCACCGCTCTCTCAGCTTGGAAAAGTAAGTAGAGAAAGCACGGGGAAAAGCTGACGCACACGTGGCGTTCGACGTGCCGGTATATTATGAAACGTACAGCTTGAATCCTCTCTCTCTCTCTCTCTCTCTCTCTCCTTCTCTTTCTTTCTGTGTCCGGGCTTTTCTATCGTTGTACTTACATATTCCTCCTCTTTCTCTTCGTTTCTCACTCCAACTCTCTTCGATGCTCGTACACACCCCCTCTCTTTGCAACCCTCTTGCCTCGTCCGTGGAAACGGCGAGCCCCCTCCGGCCTCGTAGCGCCGACCTCCCAGCGGCCCTCCACGGCCCACTACACGTCCACGGCAGAAAATTAATGTCCCCTGCAATCCATGTATAATGCATTCGCATTTCGTTGAACGAACAAATGAACGCACCGCTAGAAAATTTACGTCCTATCTCACTCTCTCCCTCCCTCTTTACTCCCTTTCTCACTCTCGCTCGCTCGCTCGAGCACGCTTTCCTCGAGGCTTCACTCTCTCTCTCTCTCTCCTCGTTCTCCCTGCTTGGTTCTTGTCTCTCCCTCGATTTCTCTCTTCTCTTCTTTGTTTCTCTCGTGAGATTTTGCGCGTGTGCAACAAGCCGGCCCTGACCAACCCGTCGTCGTCGTTGCACATACATCTCTCTCCTCTCGCTATTTCCCCTGGTCCTCCCTCTTTCTCTCGGCGTTTTCCCCGCTCTCTCTCTATGTCGCCCATTCCAGTTGCCATCATCGAAATTCCGGCTGGAAATCATTAAATTGCACGCACTCACACGCACATGCGTGTTGCTGCCCTCTCGCTGCGATGACCTCGTCTCTCTGCTCTCTCTGTCTCTCCTCTCTCGCTCTCGACGCGATGCTATTCGAGTACGAACGATACCTTGAATTTCGCGACAAGGGGGAGAGCAAATACATAGTTGCCGGGGAAAAATCGGGGATGAGAATGCTGGTGCGAGCCAACGGCTGGAATGTTTGTATATCGCGATGATATTTGCCGAGAGTGCTCGCCGCCCCCTTTCTGCACTCTTCGATGACGATCCCATTTTTATTCTCTCCCGCTCGATTTCACGTCGAACAAAAACGTCCGTCGGCAACGAACCACGGGATTCGAAACGAAAGAGAATGCTCTTTTTTTCACTCTCTCGATGATCGTCGACGCGAATTCGTCCAATGGACTCTCCGCGGAAAATTCTGCGACAGCGTTTAGCTTTGGAGAAATTCGCGGTAAGTAGCGGTTCGGACTTGTGCACAAGAGGATTTAGTTGGTTGTAGAATATTTAGGAGGTTGCAACGGCTGATTGCTTAACCTTGGTGTTCAATCGGAGAGTAAGTATATTTGAAAGTGGATGTTACATCCATTTTCGTCCTAATTAAAGTACTCTTAGCAAGGATTTGTTCGTAGGGCAGAGGCAGCCAGTTTAAGAGTAATTTAACTTGGAGCGTTGGTTAAAAGCGTCACGACACCGATCTCCCATGGATTCTATTAATTTCCCTCCGCACGCCGGAATTATCGATAGCGTTCGAAAGATAATATTCGCGAACGTTCCGAAGAAGCAATCACTTAGAAACGATATAAAAAGACGTCGATCATCCCTTAAACGCCTGTAACCTCCCTCCTACCGATCTCTCTCGCGTATTAATTATTAACGGTATAGTGCAGAATCATCTAACAATCAAATCAACCATTACGCTACCGTGGATTATTAAACAAATTACGGTAATGTAACCAGCCAGTTGTCTCGGATTTATACTCGTTTTATCACCGTGATTATAGCCGCTGTTCTTCGGACACGAAGTGCTCGTTACTATTTTCCTTCTGGGCTCTCGTATTAACTCGTCTTATATCTCACAGTGATTTCCATTCGTTTCACGTTAACAACTATACCGTCCGTTTCAACAGTTTCTTCCCATACGAACTTTGTGGAAAAAGGTATCGTCGCGCAAACGAGAGCGAAATTTTTCCAAACGTTCGCCAGTGTCGCGAGAGTTCGACGAATTGTTTCGCGGAAAGGGGCCGATCGGGGGAGGGGAAATCGTATGAAATTTATCGAAAGAAGGACGAGCATTAACACGGGGGGGGATACGAGTGAAATTTATAGGCTTTGAAATTACCATGAAAGCAACGTTAGCGGCGCGTTCGGTGTGGTATAGCGTGTATTGCGCTAAGAGAACGCGTTACCAGGCGCATAGAGAGCGAGAACGGCCGAGCTAGAGAGAAGACAGAGAGAGAGAGAGAGTGAGAGAGTACATCCCTTTCCCGAGCGATGCAGCCG